TGTATTGTAAAATTAGCCTAAAGGCGGTGTATGTTTTAATGCCATTTTAAATTTAGGATTTCTTAAAAGCATAAAATCATTCTTAGAAATAGAATGGTGCAAAAGAACCTCACTTGTCTTGGAAAAATATGCACACGTTCAAAATAATGACTATGAATAAGAAGACGAGGTTATAAAATATTCAGGAAAATACTAATTTACGTACGTTTCCAGACGGTTTTTTGTACTGGCTAGGAGAACAGGGTGCGAGAGTATGGAATGCAGGGGTTAATACGCAGTGAGACAGTCTGGAAGTAGAAGCATGTAACCACATCAACATAACATTTATAACCTTTAGCTTTTCCAGCTCATTCTAAGCAGTAGTTTTTCTGATTGACACACCGTATAATCTGATTCACCCATCAAATTAATCTCTGTTTTTTTTATAATCTTTCTGTGTGTATCCGGCAGCAGACTGTGTGATAATAACCCTCAACAAACAGATATAAACTATTTAATTCAGCTATATTCTCTAAATCACATTGATGCACTGAAGAGATTTTACTCATAAAACTAGCCGACAATATGTTGCACACAACTTATTAAAAAAAGGTAAAATAAATTTATTATACTTTCTGTGAGCTAAAAGACCGTGACACGTACATTTTTTCACATTGTCTTTCGTAAAAAAAAACACATGTATGTAGATTTTAAACATTCGTAGACTCGTGTTGAGAAAAACAAAAGAGAGAGAGATTCGTACTAAATACAGTGACAAATTACTATATTATTCACTTGCATCCCTAGGGAAGAGATAAAAATATAGATCGAATGTTTTGTTATAAGCGCAAAGTTGCATACTGGGTCACTTATGCTATGCTTACCGCGGGTATCGAAACTTGAATTTTACCGTAATTCGTGAGACTTGCCGCTAAGTCACCGGAGGGGGGGGGGTCATATATCTATTGTAAATGCATTCTACTACTGCATGCCGTATCAAGAGCAATATGTAATGAAACCGTTAAACTGAGCAAAAAACAAAGCAAAATTATAACGTTAACTGGATAGATTAACAAATGTAGACAGGAAATGGAGGACTGAATCTATACGAAAAATACACGCCAACAACGAGTGGACGCTTAGATAAAAAGTGACTTTTGAATGGTTAAATGCTATTTGACTTATGAATACTGATATAAAATAATAAAAAATAAAGAATGGGATGTAAGGGAAAAGATACATGCTGTGATCAGGAGAAGAAAACGGTGCCAGTGATCGAACCACAATTTTTAATCTTACTGGTCTGACAAAACCAAACAATTTTAACAAGAGCCAAAATAAGCATCATTTTACATGATCGTTTTTACAAAATGTTCTCGTTTCTTTAGTAATTCGTTCAAAATAATTTAATGTGATTTTAATACTATCGCGTCAGACACCTGATAACGACAGAAAAGTTTAAATAATAAAACAGATATGCGTTTTAAGTGAATGATTATGAAAACACCGATTTAGGCTTAGAAAAAATGAGGAACATAAATCATCATGTAACTGCAATATTTTACTTATACTAAACTTTATTTATCATATTTTGTTGTTTTTTTGATTCGGTACAAAATCAGACAAGTTATGTTTTATCATAACTAGCTGAAGGTACATGATCTTGCTATGTGGAAGGTAATAATTGACTCATTTAACTGATTAATTACTCGTGTCTTCAAATTCAAAGCCAAAATTCTATTTAAAAAAAAAAGGTGAAATGCACCCTATTTTAGGGTCTTTTTTAATCCATCTTGTCGGGCAAAAATCCTAAAACAAAGTAGCTCATATACATGGTCGGACAGTTTCAAGTAACTATACGAAAAATTACAGTAATCGAACTGGCTAGCTATGAAAGATGAATGTTAACACATAAACGCACACACACACACAATGGATTATCTTTGCACTAAAATTAATATACATCTCGTATTTAGGTATTCTTATTGTTATATGTTTTCTGCATGCTTTACCATATGTAACTTGGTGTATTTTAAACACATGTTTTTTACAGGCAACGGCTTTAAGATCATCAATACCTGTTGTAATCTCATTTTTCCATATGATGCAAACAAGTGAGGACATGATGCTTAGTACAAGCGAAAAGAGTTAAAGGCTTCTGGTATCACATTTACTCCTTTTACAAACAAGTCCCGTCCTGGGACTTGATTTCAGACTCGTAGTACGACCACCAGCTGTGCGCTAAAATGTCTGCAGTGATTCCATCTTTGCATCTTCTGCAAGTGGGATCGAACTTGGTATCTTTCGCGTCCCTAATGAGATTAGGAGCTAACCCACTGAAAGGTTAATCCTGTAGTTGATGCTACTAAGACATTTTTAACAACTGAATAGACCACATACTCACTAAAAAAAAAAGCACACTACTAGACTGTATTTTGATTTGTACTCATATGATCATTACTCTCAGACATTGATGTAATGGCATTGAGTTTCTTTTTTTTTGAGCAAATTACGAAGACGCAAAAATACAATCTAAAAATGCATATGTATATACGGTCTATATGATCTGTAACGTTAGTTTAGCATATGAATTTATGACTAACCTAAATCTCCTAAGCTGGTTGAACCTCGTAAGACACTATTAGGTTAACGGCCAAAATTACTGCTAGCAATTAATTAAACAATTCCTTCTAACCTTTATATAAGGACGAATGTAAGAACAGCGTGTCTAATTAATTAACTATGTTAACTACCGGTCTGATTTGTACTTTTTATCCGTGCTTTGTACGGGAGTTAATACTAATTATGAAAAGAAAATTAACTGATATTTGAAAATTGTATGTTTTCAATATATAAAACCTAAATCAGAACAGATTCACAGAATTTGTTTTTCTAATAATTTCGCGCCCTTGTCATAAAATAGTGAACTAACTCACGAAACGCCGTCAAACTATTGTATGAAACTCGCACAACTGAAAACTTCTCGATTTCATGAAAGTATTAATAAACATTAAGAGAAGTCAGTTATGAGAACTAAGTACATAGGACATAAATCTATCCTTCTGGCTGACAGACACGTATAGTAATAGAAACTTGTATTTATAATGCATCTTAAAGTTAATGTAAAACCATTATTGTTTCACCACATAATACTGATAGAAAATAATTATAATAATTTTAGCATTTCCAGAGAAATATGTAGTTAAAGTAACTCGGATAAAAATCAGTGCCATTTGTAGTCCCCCCGTGGGACAGCGGTAAGTCTTCGGATTTACAATGCTAAAATTAGGGGTTCGATTCCTCTCGGTGGACACAGCAGATAGACCGGTGTGGTTTAGCTATAAGAAAATACACACACACGTCATTTCTTTCATTTTACAAGATAAACTACTAAAATAGTGACATTACGAGATCATGATTAAATCAATGGACAAACTTTAAAAAATATTTGTATCTAATGTGCTTTCTTTAAATTTTTGTTTTGCATCAACACTATAAAATACGCAACGTGTTTGCAAACATACAGTTACTTTTGTGTAGCCCCCCAGTGGCACAGCGGCATGTCTGCGGACTTACGACGCTAGAAACCAGGTTTCGACACCCGTGGTGGGCAGAGCACAGATAGCCCTTTGTGCTTAACTACAAACAAACAAACTTATGTGTATAGCGGTTATAGTTATCATTAAATAATGTGTAACTGTTTATCATGAAATGATTAAGTTAAACTACTGAACATCGTAAGCTTCATATTCTACTCTAAAAGTTTGAATTTATTTGTGTATCGGCAAGTTTCTAGCACACTGTTTACATTTTTTTTTAATTGTTTCTTCTGTGTCTCAGCAAACTTCAAACCGTAGTACACGACCAGCAACGATTGGAGGCGGCTTCGTTAGTTTATCAACACTCGAAGCACGGAGACCCTTAACCCTCTCTTGTGGTGTCATCTATGAAACGTCTTGAAATATTAAGATAAAAATACATCGATTCTTACCCTATGGCTTTGGCATATTTCATTTCGTAAGCTTTCAAGATATCGTTTATTTACATATTCTTTTTTTTTTTTTTAATTGAGATCAGAATTTTTCAAAATCATAAATCTGGAAACATAATGATTCTGACTCTGAACTTTGACCAAGAAATTACCTAATCCAGACACCTGAAATGGTACAGTTTCAATGCATACCTTACTTACGTACTAAATTTGGTCTAAATCAGTTAAATTGTTTTGAAATGTATATAAATATGAAACAGACACATGTTCTAACAGTGATGATAACCCTAATTTTCGGATAGAAAACGTGCCAGAATTCGAATCTATGCCACGCTTCAACTATCTAGTGAAGATGCTGTAGCTAACGTAATGCAAGTTTCCAGCTTCAAGTATACTGATAAGGTATGGACTAATATTGATGTATATAGATATATATATAAAATATCACATAGTCTTTAAAACAAGTACTTCATCTTTCACGTGCCACGCATTGTTTATATGAAAATATTTTCATTTCTGGTCATTCACATTATTCTCAAAGACAGCAGTGATTAATATTACTTATTATATGAAAAGCTATTGATGTTTTCTTCATTTTAAACTAGTGTGAAACATTCATGATGGTAAACAAATGTTTATTTTTTGGTTGTTAAAGCAACCTTACCCTTAAGGTTGTGATTTTTATGCTGATTTAATATTAATGTCTTCAGAAGTTTGGTCTCAAATAAGCAAGAGTTATTGTTATTTGTGTGTTATCAAAAACGATAGGCAAATAAAAAGTAAAATATCAGTTAATTAATAATCAACAGATAGTGTTGTTACAAAGTTCACACATTTCAGAGAGACAAAAGAACCATATTTTAATATTCTCTAAATTAAAATTTTTTGCCTGATACTGAATGAAATATTAAAACCAACCTTTTCGTATATTTTATCTATTGAGAAAGATGTTATCACAACAACTACCTTAGGATTGAAAACGCATACACAAAGAAACAGAAACCGCCAGGCTGACATTCATATTGCTTACCTGTACATGGTTGTTTCTGACGGTGTTGGCGAATGTAAGTCAAAATCTTCTAACTTTTGGGAAAACAGAAGAACGAATGGATCTTCCCCCTTCATTTGTATGACTGGAGTCTCTGATTTCAATCTAGTGGGAGATGTGGTGAAGCGACAACTTTCTTTCTAGCAAGAAAAAAACAATAACAAACAAACCTACTAAAATTACATCCACTTGTTTGTGGTTGGATGTGTTCTAATCAAGAACTCTTGCACCTCAGCACGTGCTGCCTAAAATGAAAACTAAACCAGAATGCTACACGAGCTACCTGTACATTCGGTATACGCATGGAAAGAAGTTCTAAGAAGCGTAAGCGCTGAAACGTGTTACGTAGGAAAAAACAGCATGATATCATTTTCCCAGAATCTGATTGGGCTTCGTCTGGGCCAACCGTGTACACCAGCCAATAAAAATAAATACATCATCGTTTTAACAACATCTTGTTTAATCAATCTAAAATCATTGCTTAAATTACAATAAAGATATAAACCCGGTTATTACCGTGTGTGTGTGTATATATATATATATGTGTGTGTGTGGATGTATATATATATATATATACATCCACACACACACACATATAAAACCCAAGAGAAGCAATAAGTTTTAGTATTTAATGCCTAGAATCTTGTGAGAAGTAAAGATATTAGTTCGAAAGCATCTAAGCTTCTCCTGGTCAGAATTATTCCGTTTCATTCCGAAAAATCATTTATTTGTTTTTACAGGGCTTGTGTTTCAGGACCATTTAGTCTAGAAGAAAACTAGTTTGGCACACTTTCTATAACAATTAATTAAAAGGATATTTTTCCAGTTTTGGTTTTGTTTCTTAATTTCAAACTT